CGGTCATGCGAGACCTTTGCCTTGCATGCAACGAGGCTGTCCAGGCCTGGATGCGAGGTAATGGTTATGGGGGCAATTGAGATTTGGTTATTGTATGTGTTGAGCATCGTAAAACTGAGGGGTAGATACCAACCGAACGTTTTATCCGGAAAATATTCACGGCACTTAATCGCTGGAAAGTTTCTCTGCAGGGTTTGTGAAGCTCCTCAGGCACCAGTAGCCCCGGCAGATAGCCCCTACGGCTCCCTCTTAGACGTGCTTGAACGTGCTGAACATCTCAGCGAAAAACTGGGCACACTGCCGGAGCTGAGCCATACGTAATGGGGACTCCATCGACTCTCGTAGTCCTCACGCTCATGCCGATGCAGGTACAACACTGTTGGATTGTACTGCCGAGCCTGCGGGAAGCTACACACTGCATTGAAGTACCCCACTGAAGTGCAATGACGTTTGTATAGGTCCCAGTCTATGAGGTATTTCGAAAAGGCCTTGGCGTTGAACTATCGTGAACATGAAGCTCGGACACGGCTACACATCTCAGCAACTCAGTCAAGATTGGGGAAGTGGAGATGCTGTTGGCGTCCTTGTGGAGCAAGTGCGGTTCAGGCACCAGGAGGCTCTGCTCTATGCCTCGGAGGCTACAATTACTCTGTATGAGATCATCACCCGGGAGCTACAGAAAAAGCGAGGGAAAGAGCCTAAAATGAATCGACACTTCATCGGGGCTGTGATAGAACTGCCGGTACTACACCAGGCATGCTCTGGGCTTATGTGGAACTCGGGAACTCTGTGGAGGATGGAGGCGCAGGTTCGAACCGCGCAGGTGTCATTTCTACGCATTCATTCCATCAGCGATTTAGTAGACAATTCGCTCGAGGAAACAGTAGCTGCTATTTCTCATGAGGTTGTTGTACCGCGGGTTTCTGGTTGACGACCCGCACACTTTCATAACTGCTCTGGATCGGCCATGTAGTCACAAGCATGTTGGTCGCTTGCTCTACAACTCATCGCCCGGAGGCTTTCGATGGAACTCAGCAGGTCCAGAACGCGGAGTCGACAGGAGGAGGAGGGGGGAGGGAAGCACTTGAACGAGAATCTGTGGGAGGAAGCGCCCCTTAAGGCGGGTCTCTGAAGTTCGAATCAGACCCTGGGAAGCGACTCGGCGGCATCTTCGTCAGAGTTTCGTGACAAAGTCTTCCTTCTGATCACAGCGTACCAGCAAATGGCAGTTGAATATGAGTATGGCGGCTTTATGGGAGCCTGTCATCCGCAGCTCTACCTGAGCGCAGATATACGGGCGATGTTGGTGCTGCGGTCCGCTGCTACAAACAAGGGCTAAGATTAATCGATGAGTGAACTCTGTCGTTTTTGGTGATCCAGTATGTATTTTGCAGACATCTCCAGAAGGAATATTCAACAGAGCCTCATCCTCTTGTAGCTATTTTGCAGAAGGGCATGGATTCAGTACAGCGGAATTCGAAAGAGCAGAGACGGACTGGTGGGATCATCAATGCCTTGTCGATAACACACGGTCTACATCAGTAGGAGTTCGAGAGGAGGTTGTTGAGCAGACTAGCGAGAAATGACTCAAGATTCGAGACTAGCGAGGCGGATAACAGAGCTAGCTGAAGTGCTACTGCTGACCTCTCCAGAGGTCGTTGGCGATGACATGTGGATCGCTCGCCAACGTGTTGGCGTTGATCTAGCTATAGTGGTGTCATGTTGCTATTCGTCAATACTCTATTAGTGATAGTTATGTGAATACTGTCTCATTGCTTGGACTTTCATGAATGCCTCCTGAGAGATCACGTGCATGAGAGGTACACAGTACACTGCGGAATATTATGCGGTCTACGATGCATCGGAGTTGTTCTCAATACATTTCAAACTCTTCAACACCCATAAGAACCTGTGTAATACACAGTGTGTATCTATTTTCCTAATATCTTTCGAAAACT